CGGAAGAAACACAATCGGCACCGTCGCCGAAGAACTTGGACACGCGGCGACGCGTTAATCGCAACCCCACGGATACCACCCTTCGTCGTCCTCTTCTTCTTCGTCTTCTCCTGTCGTCCTCAGTCGTCGATTCCCGTTTCTCGTTCACCAGCCGTGCCAACCGTTTCACGCGGCTTTCCAAGAGAGAGAGGGAGAGAGAGAGAAGGAGAGAGAGAGAGAGAATGAGAGAGAGAGAGAAACTCCTGCGAGCCTTGCCCCGTTCGAGGATCCCTAAACGTCTTCTAGCTCGGTTCCCTTCGTTCCGGCGTAGGTGTATCGCCTTTTCTCTCATACGAAAAAAATAACTCTTATTTACAGAACACGCGGCGAGCTCTTTTTCTTGTTTCACACTCTCTCTCTCTCCCCCCTTTTATTGCGCGATCCACGGGTGCTCGTGCCCTGCGCCCAGTCGCTACTCTCTCCTCCCGATTCTCTTCTTTCTCTCGTCCGCGAATTGCTTCCCGTCCTCTCGAGCGAACTTTGTTTTGGATACTCGCAGCAACTATACGGCGGATTCTCTCTTCTTTCTTCTTTTACTTCTCTGCTAGTCCTCTTCTTCTTTTTCTGCTTCTTCTGCTTCTTCTTCTTCTTCTTCTCCCTTTTACCCTTTTTGGTTTCTTTTTTACTTCCTTCCTGGTCGCCCCTCTCTCTATCACTACAAGACGCTACCTACGTCTCCTCTCGACTCGCAAATTCCTCGTTTCCGAAAGAAAGATCTCTCTCACTCGATTTCACTGTCAACATCCATCATCCTCGACGCTGGTGTCTGAAATCAGAACGAGAAAACGTTTCGGTTACTATTCCGCCGTATCGATGCATCTGCGGTGTTACCCGGTATCTGTCCAAATACCCTGCAAGCTATTTATGCCGAGTTATCTCTACCCCCTTTTGTTCCTAACCAACCGGAATTCTGAGATCCGCCGACAAACTTGGTCACCTCGAGCGCTAAAATTGTCGGTGGAAGAAAAAGTAAAGGATGCACGGCGTGGGATCTTGGTTTCCGGTGCGTGGATCGATCGAATCGCGTTACATCGTGGATAATTGTTCAATGTATGTGTAAATGCGTGTGTGGAAATGTGCGTGGAAATGAATGTGAATGTATTAACTTGTTAACCGTGGAATTTAGTTTGAAAAATCTCTCGTTTTCTGCGCAATATAATGAAAAACGAAGCGTGTAGTTGTCAAACCCAGGATGAATGCACATATGGTATATTTTCATGAAAAACCAAAGCAAAACAAAGAAGAATTATATGTTTATCGGGAGAAATAATTAGATTGATCTATGTTAATCGGTTGAAGGAATTAGTATAATTTCAAGCTTTAACACTAGAACTACCGAGCATTTAATACGATTAATACGTCATCCCTATACAAATTGTAACAGTAGATTATTTTTAATTTCTTCAGGCGTTCATTATAGGATTCAAGTGAAACTATTTATTTTCAAGATTATTTCGAATATTCAATACTTTTAAGATATCAATAATTCCGAAATAAGGAAACCCAAACCAGTCATTTTGACTGGTGTGGTAGTTCTAATGTTAAGATGACGTGTATAATCAAACGCAATTAACTGGTTAAACGTGAAATGAGAAACATTATGAATAGTGGAGTTGATTTGATTGGCTACTGAGGAATTCAATTAATGAAAATGGAAGTTTTGCGAAAGCGTGACCGCTAATTGCGAAGGATCTGGGCCAGTCCAAATAGTTTTAGGTATTTACAATTTTTAAGGAATTTTTTTCTTAAAAGGAAACGGATAAATTGTATAATTAGCAACTTTCAGCATCATCTTTTTTGTTCATTGTGTTACATGTACATATTTTAATATTTGGTTGTGGCACTTAATGATTTCTTGAAATTTTATATTTTTATGCATATCAGTAAACATAATTGTTGCCTTGTTATCATTTTTTCATTTTGTTTCCTGAGCTTATATACAATGCTATTTCTCCACTTATTTGATAATAATTTATTCTTTTTCTTGTATTGAAAATTATATCTAATTAGGAAACTGAAAACAGAGAATGTTTGAAACTATTTGATTTGGAATGAACTTCTCGATGTTACTGTTATACGACGTATAACAAAAAAACTATTGGAGTAATTTATATAGATACAGATATCTACATAAAAATGGAAAATCAAAAGGAAAGGACTAATTTATAAGTAAGAAATAAATTATAAACGACAACAAAACATGTATTTGTAGTTTTCATGTAAAATTATGAATTTATTAGATAGATAGGAAAGTAAATTGGGTTTCTGGTTAAACTAAAATTACTTTTTAATAGTAGTTGATAAAAAGGGAAAAAACTCACAAAACGATCAAATAAAATCACAGGAAACAGTATTCTACAATGCATTAAATAAAATAATAATACCGTAGTAAACTCTCTTGTTTATGTTGTTTTCCCAGTAACTCAATGAAACAAAATTAATTATCTTTATCTTGTCCATTTATGGATCAAAGCAGAAAACTATTTCTTAAATACGCATAATTGCAAATAAACTTGTTAATATCAATTCTTTATTTAAATTAAAATTCTTTAATCAAAATAAAATCAAGAAAACCTTGATATATGACTAATTAACAAAAAAAATCCGAGTTTAAGTTTGAATCATGTTCGGATATATCCTCGAATATCTATACTACGAAAGCTCGAATAAAAATGAAAAACTTTACTAGCTTATTTATCATACGATAATGCATCAGAAATCGAAATTACAATTTAAGATCAGCAGTGCACGTCTTTTGGAAGAGAAGGGTCGAGTTAACTCTTGCTCAATTAAGTTACTCTAAAAAATTATTACATAAGAAAAACACATAGAATTCATTCAAAATGAGCGAGATCGTGATCTTCTCTCAAAATATAAAATATATTACCCTCCATTCGATCTCCATGAAAATTTTAACAATAATGACAATAATGACAATCACGTTTTCCTGGGAAAACTAACAAAATTATTATCACTTATACTTTCATTCATATATTTGAAACACCTTTCAATAGATATATATACTTTTTCTGGATATCTATTTGTAATAATTATTCAATCATTTCTTTTAGTAAAACAAATATTCTTGCAGAAAATCTTCATTCTTCCAACAAAGAATAATTATATTTATTCCAGAAATAGTAAGTGTATAAAATGATAAACTATATTCATATAGACAGATACCGAATATTATAGTAATATATTTCTTATTACTAACTTGTATAAGCATGGTCATTGTTCTTGCAACTTAGCTTTTAAAAACATGGTCACGAAATAATGCAAAAATAAATGCTTACAAAGAATTTGATTTCCATTACCTTTTCTAGCAAAGTATTCTAGTCAAATAAATATAATACCTTCGATATACAAAGAAAAATATCTGAAATTCATTTTAAAACCCAATGGATCCATCTAAATGAACAACAAGGTGGAAGCAATAAATATAATACAGAATATACATGGAAAAATAAACAAACACATGCAATACAATTTATTCATAGAACATTTCGTTACCGAGATGATCAACTTCGAATGTTGTAATACCCATTCCTTAACCCCTTGCACTTGAAAGCTTTTCATCAGAAATATTTAATATTTTCTGATGAGATATCGACATTTTTTAGAATTAACTTAAAAAGAAATAAATATAAACATACATATATTAAAGAACAAAGTTACTTTATTTTAGTATTTCACATATTAATATGTTATACGAAGTTTAATATTAACCCTCTGTCAGCAATATGATTTTTCAACAAATGTAGCTAACAATATGGACCTTTTATGATCAGTTTTACTTTTTCATTGCTGTGAATTTTGTGAAAATTTGTATAAATTCTTAGGTACTTATTATAGTCCCTATAATCGAACATCGCAACAAAAGGGTTAACAATCTATATTCTAAGGGTTAAGTATAAAACTATTGTAATTTTGCTGCATCAAGCCACCTGTCTGAGAGTCGCTTTTTGAGTGCAAAGAGTAACACTTCCAAGAAATAGAAACAACAAGTCATAGACTTTGTTTTTAAATATTTCTTTTATTTTTCAAAATTGAGATAAGCAAAACTCTAAACTGTGAAATATTAAGATAAAGTCATTTTTTCCCTTAATTTATGTATGACATTTTTCTTAATTAGTTCTAAAAAATGCTGGTCTCTCATAAGAAGATAAAGAGAACATTATATGGTAAGTCGGAGAGAGGCGGGTCATTTTTTATAAAAGAACTTTTACATTATAAATATCATTGATACCTGACAAAAAGAAACATATTTATGAAAACAAATACGCATAAGAAAAATAGTTAACACTAAAACTATTAGACAGATCAAAATGACCTAATCCTGATTTCTTCTTTTTGCGAATATTAAAAAGGCAACAGATGTTTCTCGGAGAAATTATTAAAGAAACTGATTTAGCAATATGCAAACTGATACACTCTTGAAGTTTCTGTAGAGGAATTTCAAAAGGTCGAATTAATTGCTCGGTAGTTTTAGTGTTAAATAGGCCTGTGTGCAAGATTCAGTACAGGACTAAAAAAAGGTGAAATTATAGTCATTTAATAATTTAAACGAGATCGGGTCGTATCAGCCGGAATTATTCTAAGTAAATTAAAAGTGTATCTTTTTGTCAGTGTGAATTATCCTAAGTAAATTAAAAATGTATCTTTTTGTCAGTGTCAAATATTCATGATATTTATAAAGTAGAAGTCCTTTTACAACAAATCGTCCATCTCTCCGGCTTACCCTATAATGTATAGATAGACAGTCTCTGGCTGGGTGGAGCAGGAAAATATATTTTAAATTAGAAAAACTGTTGTTTATCTAAATCTTTAAAAATAAAACAAGTATTCAAATGTCGCGTTATTTGTGGGATGACCCAATATAATCACCTCTCTGTCGCGTGTATATACCACCCTATGTACAGTACGAAGATGACTTGATGTCCAACGGAACGGCACAGAGACAAGACATGTCCTTCCAGTTTAGTTTTATAGTTTTGATTGGTTACATGTAAGATAAAAGCACCAATAGTTGACCAACTAAGAAACATTTTCTGCGCGAATAATAGTAAACGCTTGCTCCTTTATTAAATAGAAAGACTCTATGCGTGAAATGCTGTTTGAGCTTCTATATTATGTAACGACTTGCGTTTGAAGTTGACCGTCCTTTAAAACGAGAAAACTAGTAATTAACTATATATTAATTACTATTTGACTACTTATAGTAAAACCAAAAATACTAAAGATGATTTTGTTTAACTTTAATATCGTTTATTTGCAATGATTATGAGAAATTACGAGTAAAAGGGCAAATAAATACAAATGAAGAGAAGCTAATTCCATGTTGGACATTGGAGGTATATAGCCAACATTAATGAAATAAATTGTTAGTTTTTACAATAAATAATTTACTTCGGATAAAAGTGTTTCGGAGTTGGGTCGGTAAATGTTACAGTATATCTATCGCGTTTTTATCGGAAGATTACTACTTTTAAAAATGTTATTTTTCACGTTTTCCTGAAAAATGGTCAACTACCGATACCAGTTCAATTACTAGTACTTTTACCTTAGCCGTATTGACCAACAGTAAATTGGTGATCGAAAATATCAGAGGTTAAGAAATAAGACCAACGGAAAATCAACTAAGAAAAAATGGTAACTGATCTATCAGTCGAATTCCTTAATCTAGCCATCAAGTGATCTGCTAGCAGTAAATGAAATGACAACCGATCGTTACAAAAATGCACTCTTCTTCGGTTAAGCGTGTCACATTTGGAGGTTGCCCGGTATCTTACAGCCGGAGAAGGTAGCCATTTTATATAATTATCAGATCGCGCTTAGTCGAGCGCGAACATAGATAAGAAAAGCAAGATAAACCCTGCACAAGTCTCGTTGAACAGTTTCCGGCACTTCAAAGCATACCGATGTATCCTGTCATTGTCTCAATTACTAATCCAACGTGTCCGATTCACTTCTAATCATATTTCCCCCTTGCCAATGTTCTAATAAAGTTCCCCGAATAATAATAATTCCAATTCTAACGAAGTTCCTCGAATAAAAATAATTTCAAACTTTATACTTTCAGTGCACGCAATTCAGTTTACGAAGGGAATGCATATTCACTATTTTTAAGGCGTATTTTCAAAAACATGAAGAAAGTGTTGTTTTTGCCGAATACTGTTAATCAAGGACTAGAAGAGATTAATTGGAGAGTAATGTAGTAAAACCTTGGTAGTGCCAAACAGCAAGTTCTTTTGAGAGGAAAGAAACTGTTACATAACATTACGTTGAATGTGCTAAAGGAATTATCTTTTAGCACTATTGATGACTTGTATTATACTGTTTTTGAATTACATTATACTATAGTACTATATTAGACAATACTCGCATTGATACATAAAATATTAACAATAAATATAAAGAAAAATAAGATTTTATGATTTTAGCCTTTAAAAGAACTTTCCTACAACTTTTCTCACCTTCAGTTGGCCACTTTCTAGTTTTAGAAATGTCTTATGATTTGTAGTTTCGAGTCGCATCAATAGTTAAAAATATCAGCGATAATAATTTGTTATCCTTTTATTACGAAATTAAAAATTAACAATATGCAGAAGTATCCAACTATTCAGTGTTACTGATAAATATATCATGCATGCCAATGAACTATAAAGGATTAAGTGCCCTCCTTTTTACGACACAACGAAAAATAAGATGCGTAAGCCTGTTTAGTGAAAAATACGTTAAGTTAAATAAATGAAATTAATATGTTAGGTTGTAACATAGATAAGTTCAACTACAACGTGTAAATATGTTCTAATTCCAAGAATTTATTATGACTCACTGTAAATACACGCAACTGTGATTAACAAGAAGCCACTTGTAGTCGGTTTAACCCTTGAACGAAAGTGAAAGTGATAGATATTTTTTACCATCAATAGTTTTTAATTTTGTTTTATAAATCACTTTAACACGTTGATTGTCACACTGATCATCGATGATCAAAGCTTTATAATTATTGAAAAATAAGTATAATTTGTGAGATAAGTTTATTTCGAATAAAAACGTTCAGTACTCTAAATAACTAGATAATGGTGTAATATACAAATTTTGGTAGCAAATAATTAATAATTCTTTTTGCTCATTTTTATTATAAAGGTATCAGTGATACATAAAACGCCAAAGCCTTTTGTGGCAGTCAACGTGTTAACCAATTTTTGAAAATTTATTTTTATTGTGTTTCGTGTTTCGTGATTTGTGATTTGTGATTTGTGATTTGCCCTTGCATATAAAAAAATACTAAAAAGTGCACTTTGAACAGTAATTGAATGTATGCTACGAAGAAAAGTTCTTCGTATACCAAAGGTTAAACCCAACACTGTTATTTCACTGCATCGTGGAACTAATAATACAAAGAAATATTGAGTATAACCGAACTTATTTACGTTACAACCCAATAATTGATTCACAACGATGTATCTCGCGTATCCTCTTTGTTTGCCGGATCGCTTTGCCTCGATTCACGTTAGTAAAATGTAAACGTCACGGGGAACTTCTGAATGAAGGGAAAAGTGTGCTCATATACTTACTACACTGCAGGAAACAGAAAGTAACATAAGAAATTGAAAATGAGAAATAAAGTAAATACCTGTTGAGCACGTCAATTGCACCGCGACATTCGCGAATTAATTAGGTAAGTCTCTTGATAATTCTATTAATCGAGAACAAAAGGAAACTTAACGCAGGGAAGAAACCAAGTAAGTCTAAGATAGAGAGAAAGTGAATCGTAGTATGATTTAAAATGCGTCCATGACTCACTCTACACGATACAGTAATTAATGCAACAGAAATGATAGTGTACTCTATGTTCGTTTCGTTCGTAAAAATTCGAAAACTATAAGCTGCGATAGTTTTTAAACAAAGGATGGTTAAGATAATACGAATCGAATAAACTGATAGAAACGCAATATTTATTAAACGGAATTCATTAATTCGCGTTGAATATGCAACTTTTAAGTTAAAGTTACAATAAATTTTTTATTTTTTAATTTACAATCAAATTTCAAATTTTTAAGTTCACAATTAAATTTCTAATTTTTTAATTTACAAACAAATTTCTAATTATTTAATTTTATTTTCCCACAATGAAAACTATTATATTAATATTAAAGCTACGGAATGGATCGAAATGTCCTACTTCACATCTTTTGCTCCACAATTATTCAAATCATAAACATGTTTTCGTGGGAAATTACGAAAACAACTTGTATCTACGCAAATAGAATCATAAAAGCAGTTTCGAATCCCAAAAAACATGTTCTCGTATATTCCAGGAAAAATTATAAATAAGTGATCCTAACTGCTTGGTATGTAGTTGTAGTGTTGAAGAATATCCCCGCTCTCCTTTCTGCCCTTATCTTCCACGCGTCACGTGAGTCGTCGTCAGTTATGAATGACACGAAATCGTCAATCATTTCAACATTTCTAAGCGTACCCACGCTTGTTCTTCGCGAATAATGTTCAGCGAACTTCCGAGTAGATCGATATATTTGTAAATAATCCGATGTACGAAAGCTGAGTTACGAACTCATATCTGATACACGCGTGCTTATAATCCGAGGAGAACTTGTTACTAAATTTGTTACGGGTTCACCCAACTTTAACCCCTGCAAGACGGACGCGGAATTATTGGTTACGTATTCAGGAACCATGTGCCTTGTCTATCCTTGCACACACGAACTCATATTCTTAACAATAAAACTACCGAGCAATTAAAAATTGACTTTTTGAAATTTCTCTATAGAAACTCCAAAAACTAAGAGTGCATCTATCGAAATTTCAATTGATTCACAGTTCAGTTTGTGCATTGCTAAATGAATTTCTTCAATAATTTCTCAGAGAAACATCTGTTATATTTTTAGTAATTTCAAAAAGATGACATCAGGAAAGGGTCGTTTTGACCCGCCTGCTAGTTTTAGTGTCAACCTCTTAACTGTAGAATTTAATTTGAAAAATCTCTCATTTTGCGCGCAATAAAATGAAAAAATGACGTGTGTACTATATATATGTATACTCGTATATAATCCTTATAAAGGTTGTAACAATATATTCTTCTTTCGATTTCTTCAGACATTTGTTACAGTTTATATTAACACTTTATCTATCGCAAGTCTATTAATCAGCTTTTCGATTTCGAATGCTCGACAATGGATAACCTATTAAAGTTACGCTGGTTTAAAGCAAAAGAGTTTGGAACGACATTACAAGATTTCCTTATACTTTGATTTGAAAATTACGAAGCTTTGCAAGTGAAAACACACTCCTACGCGATGAAGAAAACTATATTGGTAGTTAGTGGTTGCCTTGATCAGGAACGGGAGGTAAAGTGTTCAGTGAAACTATTTATTTTCAAAGTCATTTCGAATATTCAATACTTTTAAAATATTAATAATTGTAAAATAAAAAAATTAAATTTGATCATTTTTACGATAGTTCCAGTGTTAATCCCTTCTCCTATGATATCGAGTCAAACTCGTGATGAAAATTTTCAATTGAATTCGATAAATATAAATGTTATTTATTTTTCATATGAACTAAATATTACTTGTATGTTATCAGTCTTTAGCCTTTAGAGTAAATCTAGACAAAGAATAAGCATCGCATTCTCTTCTGTTTCTACTAAATTATTAACGATAAGGTAGTTCTATCAAGCACAGTTGTGAAAGAAATCATAGGACAAGGGGTTAACTTCGTGTGACGTTGCGTATCACTATCGATAATGCACTTCAGTATTTTTATAACACAGGCGAAGACTATTCTAACATCTGGCTATCATTATAATTTTTTATATTAATTGTAATTAATTTTTTTATGTTTAATTATTAACTTGTTTATGCTCTGCGCATGTTACATATTAAATATGTATACACATTTCACATAATATTAAAGGAAATGTCACGAGAAAAGTTAAATTATTACTATAGTTTGGAGTCAGATAAAGATTCATTTCATGTATTAAGCGATTGGACAAAATCAATCACTTTTCTAAAAATTATATTCAATCCAAATATAGTTTTGCATTAAGAAAATTTGGTAAACTGTAGTCTTCGGAAATGTCTATAAATTCAGTGAAGAGATAAAATTAATCTGTGTAAAAATTCTGATGGAACATTTATAAATCAATTATATCAAATAAATATATTAATAAAATCAATCATAGAACTCTCGCATAATGAATAAAAATTGAAAATTTGAATTCCGTCTGTTTCTTTGTCGGCTTCCATTGTATATTCACGCGTCACAATCGAATGCAACATAGCTTCTAAAGCAAAATGCAATTGCAACATTTAACATGTTTTAACGTTTCTATTTACTAGAAAATCTATTTTCTTAAAAGAAAAAAGAAAAAAGGAATAAACAATATAATAAAAACTATAATTTAAAAAAATTCAAAAGATTAACGAATTATCTCACAAATAATTTTGACAGCATAATTCTTAATCAAAAAATGTCTATGCAATGTGTATACATAGAATATACTATGAATTCATAATTCATTATTTGCAAGCATGGTGTATTATTGCAACGGCTAAATGTGCATTATTAATTGTACAAAAAAAAGTTTAAATAATAAGTTGCTCATGAAACACTTTTCTGTTTTCATTAAGAAACAGCAGCTGAATAGTTTCAACTGTTTAGAAGTTCCTTACAACACCCCTTCCCGTACACAGCAACGCACTCTTCTCTAGAATTCAAGTGAAAAATGAATGCTGTGTTTTGATGATACGAAAATACATACATAAATTTATCACGGCGGATTAGTCTATATATAAGAGAACCCTTATAGCATTTAGTTGCAGAAATTTAACAGTGTTCATAGTGTTTCAATGGAAATGAATTATAAAATGTAATTTTCGGATGTCATGCCCATTACTTTCGGAATATGTCTCGTAAGTAAGCTACCCAATAAGTCGTCGGTAAACGTGTCGCCTATTATTAGATGCGTCGTTTCCGCATACGTGCACGTAGGATGCGTTATACATAATCTTAGTTAGCAAAAAGAAGCATAGAACCCTGAATAGTTTGGTCTTTTGATCACACCCTAAATGCCACTTACACTTTGTAAATCTTTTAAGCATTTACTGAAAAAGTGTGATAAGCTACGAGACAGAAGGATAATATATAACTTCTTTGACAAGCAATGTTACATTGGAATGTTTAATTGAATGTATTATGAATCCTTTATAGTTATAACATTATTGTACAATAGTAAAGTACAACAGTAAAAAATCATAAAATCTAATGAGAATAAACAACAATCGAGGAAATGATTAAAAAAGCATTTGTATAATAATGTAATATTCCTGACCCACAAATTTTATACAAACAATCGAATCAAAAGACCAGTATATGTTACGTATAATAATAAACATATTAAAAATAACTGCTACTACTTCAAACGCAAAGTACCTTCTCCTGTATCGAAATAAGAAAATAAATTTTCCTTGATGGTCATCGTTAACATCTTTTAATACCAGATTGTTGTAAATTTCATAACAAATTCATACATGGAATGTTATTACAAAGTATATCTAACACATTGTAGTGTATAGTCATCAATTAAAACATTAATCATTACACAATAAAATCAACTAATAAGCGATAGTTCAAGTGTTGTATACAATCTAATCCAAATCATAAAATCTATAAATTATACTAAACTTTAATACACTTTTACAAGAACCTTATAAATGCATAATTATTTTATCCTACAACACATTTAGAAATTATAATAATGTAAATACTCATAATCCTATTCATTTGTATTACATACATATTGAAGTCTGAGAATAATACACAAAAATTAAACATATTTAATCAGAGTAAGTTATACTTACAGACTACAGTTGATTAAAGACTTGCATAATTAATTATTTGAAATTTGTTGTATACACAGATGTATATCTACCATTAATAAGAATGGAAGATGCATGTACAATTTATTTGTACAGTACTGTTATTATTAAGTATTTATGCTGTTAAATAAATGTAAAAAATAAAAAATAAAGAGAAAGCAACTTATAGTTGATAACACATGTAATTAT